TACAAAAACAGGCAACTCTGCTGGAGATTCACAACGAAAGCCTTCGTTCAGGTGAAGCATGGATCGCAGAGTAGCGGAGCTTATTGCATTGCACACATTTGAGGCCAGACTGTGCCAAGGAAATCACGGTACACTGATCTTTATAAAAGGAGAAGTGCTGTTCATACATCCAGGTTATCGAATAATCCCTCATCGTTCATCGTAGTCGTGATCAGGATGCCCCGTGTCCATCTTCTACTGTAATCCTTAGGGATTCGGGATAAAGCATTTCCATTTCAACCACACACGCTCCCCGTCTTTCGGATGAGGTCGATGGCCATAGCTCATCCACCCCGATATAGGCTTTTAGTCCGCTGATTTTAATTGAAACAATGAGTAGGAATTCCACAATTATGTTTTACGCAAATGCAGTGCCTTACTCACCCTATGAGAAACTGGGGCTTATTGAGGCACGTGAATAAACATAATCGTACCGGACGGTTCTTCTGTATCCTTAATATCATGTTTGTTGTCAAGTCAAGCGTTATGCACCCGATAGGGTGAATTTTCAGCATTTTCGACAAGTTACAGTGGGGAAAAGGGTAAGCATTGGAAAAAAGAACAAATATACATTTACTAAATGAAAAATAAACGGATTAAATGAAATCCTAATGTGACAGATGATTATTCAAGTCAGTAATAATATTTGTTCGGTTGACCAAGATATGAGCAAATAAAGGGATCATGCTGCTTTTGTATGTGGTAGTGCGTGCACAAAGAATCCGAAATTCGGAACGGGCACTTCGATGAGACACCGATTTTTTGAGATAGGAGTGTAGGCAGCGTGCTTCGTTTTACAGGATATGGCTGATAAATCGATCGCATGATTCAAAATGCTTGCTCACAATAAAGTCAAACAAAACGGTCTTTGAAATGCCGCTGCAACGGAAAATAAGTTTAGGAGATCTGGAAAAGAGAATAAAGCCTTTCTCCTTCAGACCAGGAAAATATACGGGGAAACAGTACAACCAATGTGGAAGAATGCACGCAGAGGAATAGCCTACGAACCCTGATATAAATGTTTTCAATATGTTTGAACCAAGAAAGATTGTGACAAACTAACTCCAAGATATTTCACAGAGTTAGCTTTGGGGATGATATTATCATTAACAGAAAGTCCAGGCTGATTGCTCAAAAGGGTTTGATAAGGCATACCTGTTTTAAGGCTAAAAGAAATATCCACACATTTCTCTACATTTAGCAATAAAGATCGAGAAGTCGACCAACTAAAAATTTTATTTAGACACTTGAAGTTGACAGAAACAGTCAGGAACAGCCGACCACCACGTTATCAGCACACTTCCAGGCGATGAAGTTGGGAGTGATGGGAAGGTCCTTAATGTACGGTGAAAAAAAAATGGAGATGAAATTGCACCCTGAAAAACTCCAGAGTTAACTTCTACCGGGGAGGAAGATTTACCGTTACAAAAAGTGTATTGCGTCCGATGAGTGAAGTGATTAATTGGTACATTCAGTAAATTAGGTGCCTGACCACAGTCCGAAAGACATTGAATGAGAATGCCGCGGTCAAGTGATCCGAAAGCATTTGCATAATCAAGAAAAGTTAAACGGACGATGCCAGCCCCTTTATCCAATAAGGATGAAACGGAGTGAACAACGTGAGCAACAGCATCAAGAGTGGGAAGCGAATATTTGTATGCAAACTGAATAGGGTCATGGGTGACAGATAAAAGGGATAGTCGGTTAAGAAGGACTCTTTCGAAAACTGCTGATGTGCAGGCAATCGGTCGATATTTGGAAAATCCTTGTTTGGGAATTGGGGTTATCCGAGCAGCTCTGCAACAATCAGGGATGCTACTCGATGACATACACAAATTGAGCAACTCGGAAATGGGTGAAGCAAGTTGTTCAGCACACTCTTTCAGTAGGACGGGGGACAATGAACCAAGGCCATGTGCCTTGTTACATTTAAGGGACTTGAGTACATTCAGGATTTCCACCAGGGTGACAGATTGGCTCTCCTCAGTAGATGTAAATACAGATGATGTTGAGTTCCTTATAGTAGCATTTGCGAATTGACAGTTTAGCTCCTCAACATCTGGAAAAGATCCGTTGCGTGATCCACAGAGCTGCTTCAAAGCAGACCACATGTCGCGGCAGCTCTGGTTTCCCTCAAGAGTTTCGATATACATCCGATTTAAGCGCTGTATTTCCAGTTTGATCAATAATGGTAGTTGTTTGACAGCACTGCGCCTTCCAGTCCTGTAAGCCTTTTCTTTATCACGACGAAGCCGTTTTATAAGAGGCGAAGAGAATCTGTCAGTTCGAATATACAAAGTCTCAACTGGGCAAAATATATCATAGCAAAAATTAAGATAACACGTGAGATGCTCACAACTGAAATAATTATCAGCACTGGGAAAGACAGTGAAATCGGTAGAAGACACCATATCTCTGAGTGTGGATAAGTTGTCAGGAGTGCGACTTGATTTTAAATATGAAACGGTTCATTCGGTGATAAAAATATTTTTGGATGTAAAAAAGTAGAGCAATGGTCTGAGTAACCTATGGGAACTCGCTTCTCAGTTCAAAAGATTTCTGGATTATTTACAAAAATCCCGTCAGGTTGAATACCAAACTGGGTAGGAAAATTTACAAGATTTGTCAGGCCTAAAGTTCTAAGGAAAGAGATATTAAAACGATTAAAATCGCCAGTCACAATACATGAAGACTGGTTTAAACCTGTTACAAGTTGTGAAGAGAAAGAGCCGACAAACAAAGGAATATCAGAGGCAGGCGTATCGGGAGCGATGTAAATGTTCACTAATGTAATATCATGAAAGTGACTAATAGATCGGAGCTTACAATAAACAAAAATACAATCAATCTTAGGAGTCTAAAATGAAAACGTTAATGAGCTCTTTTGCATCATTTTCTGTTGACGACAGTGACCATTCCACTACCTCTGTGATGGAAATTTGCATTACAATCGCCTCGGAATATGTCAAGTCCATCAAGATGCACGACGTTGTCTTTAATGTCAGGACGTGGCCAACTTTCCTGGAGCAGAATTACCTGTACATCTTTGCATTCCTTTTAGTGTATCATGCTCTAGGTATCGTCGAGTTTTCCCATGAGCGAGCGAATGTTACATGAGATAATGGATGTATCGGTCAAATTATCAGCAGAACGCCGCCTATGCACCACATGCCAGCCAGCACGGTGTTTTTATGGTGTCCTTGACCAGATTTTTGCAGTCGTTTAAAGTGACTTCTCAGAGAATGAGCAAAAATAAGAAACTGATGTTTCTGCACGATAAACTGCAAGGATTTCAAAAATCTGGCGTTGTAGGACAACATTTGACCTTGAGAGTATAACGAGTAGATTCAAAAGTGATGACCACGCGTTCCTCCACTGTAACTTTACGAAATAATATTCCTCGATAAAAAGGCACGGCCAAATTTAAAGGTCCCGCGTCACGCACTTGTTTTGAAAAATTTCCGACATTGTTTTCGAGTGAACTCGTCGGTATACTGAAAATCGTTGAAAGCTGCTTTCTGTCGTTCCAAGGCTCAAAGGTTTTTAACTGGTTTTGAATTGTATTGCATTGTGAACTGCTTAAACGCTGTTGGTCCTATGCTCTACTGTGATTGGATGCAATTCGAATAGTTTCCCATTTTCGTTTTCAGTCGCCACCCTTAACTAGCACTACTGTCACTCCTACTCCTGTTTCACAGAGTGGGCACGTTATTTGCATTCTCACTTCACACAACCGATGATTGAGTTTCACTGGCTAAGTGATCTCTCCAATCAGTTCAAACAGTACTGGGTTCAGTCCGTCCCGTTGGAGTCCGTGGTACGTCAAACAGTCTCATTCTCCTTGTCTGCTTGTCCACGGATCCGTTTTGTGGAATTCCTCCTGAATGTTGTCCGCCTTTTGTAAAACTTGAATATATGGTGTTGTTGTTGTTCAGGTATCCAATGCGCATAATGATTAATAATACATTTGACGAAAACCACCCAATATTGCCGGTTCAATATTTTGCCGACGAAATAATATGCTGGTTTGAGCTGACCATCCTTCAGGCTTCACCTCCACACACAATTCTCAGTTCTTCTAGTCAACCATACAATTGGAAGCACTAGACTCGAGTTTCGCTCATCAGTAGTATATATCTACTGTCCCGTTAGGGATTTGATCTCCGGACCCATAGCATGGAATGCGTGTGTGTTACCACTATGCCAACCAGCTCATTTATGCCCGGGTTCGAAACAAATTGCCAGTTCATGTTTGTTCAGCTGTGTCGTCTTCAGTGGTTGTCTGTCAGTTCATCTTTGGCCCGATTGAGATGCACTACTGATGAGTTCTAGTACCTTCGAGTGTATTGTTGACTAGAATAGCTGAGGATTGTGCGTAATGATGAAGGATAGTTATTTCAAATTAATATCATTTATCTCTTACTTTTACTCGTAAGTAACTGTGAGTTAAATGTGAATTGATACATGCTTAACTTTTCTTTGTGAAGGTACATTCTTATCTTTGCGTTCACATCACTCTATAGTTGTCTCTAGCATAAGCTTTACTGGTATACCATTTGGTGTTCCATGTCTCCATGACTTACTGCTCAGTGGAGTTGGTTTCAGAACAGTTGTTTCTGTTCTATTTGTGTGTTGGCCCCTATTACGCATCGGTCTGTCCGAGGTGCTCTCTCTCTCTCTGTGTAGTCACTTCACCGGACATGCGCAATGCTCNAATGCTCACCGCAACCACGATTATATGCCGCTAACTGCAGTGCAAAACTCCGGATCACTACAGACCCCCCTTACTTGGCTGACAGATACTGGAAGATAACCGCTTGCTGCAAGCACATCAAAACACGTCTCGATGCGAAACGCACACTATTAGGTATAGTCATCACGACGTTCGGTGCATGGAACACACATCTGTGATAGAAATTGTATTCACCGTGCCACCGACATGAAACAGCATGGTGTTTTTGTGAAATGCTCTCTGTGNCGGCCTTTAAACAGAACACTCTGTAACGTACTTTTGTTTGCCCACTGCACCCAGCTACTCAAAAACATTTGGAATACAATCATCTCATTGTCTGTCTCAACAAAACCGCCTTCACAACAGGAGGTGCATGAGGACGGAAAATCGTTAAGATGCCGCATAAAGCCGGACATTGAGAAATCTTTCTTCATACCTTATGGAAGACAAATGACAATTAACCGGAAAGCATTTTCTTATAAATTCCGCTTTATGGGAACGGTCCTCTTGTTTCAGTTTTTCAGTTTTACAACCATTAACCACGCACTTTCGTGCCCCGGTTTTCGTTACTGTCTTTTGGTTGCCCATTTGGATAAAATAGCACAATGAAGATTGGAATGTCGAAGCAAATTCAAGCGGAAGATGAGGAATACATATAGAGCGAGACGGGGAATACATATAGAATGTGTTAGGAAAATAACGAGTGGATGCACGAGCGCCACTGTTT